TGCAGGAATAATTCTAGAAGACGAAGTCAGCTATGAAGAGGCTGAACTCCAAAATGTTTGTGTTGAATGCAGGACAAACATCTGATGCATAATTGCTATCTGAAACTTCATTTCCAGTGCTGACCTGGGTGTCTGCTGCAGAATGCTTTACCTCTTCAGCCTTTTTTGCTTCCTTCTCCCCCATTTTAGTGAGGTGCAGGCAAGTCAGCGCTCTATAGCCATCGTGGCAGAAATGATCCATACTGCTACTCTAGTTCATGATGATGTCATTGATGATGCAAATTCCCGAAGAGGAAAAATGACAGTTAATCAAATCTGGGGGGAAAGGAAGGTGAGTGCGTCAAACCATATGGTACTTTTGTATTTGGGAGGATGATTACATGAGATTACATGATTATGGGGAAGATTATACATTCTGTGATCAGGGCACATTCTGTTTTGTGCTTTACAGGCAAAGATAGCTGAGGTGATGCTTTTAAATTGACTCAGCTTATGTTAGTGGTGTGTATGGTCTTCAGTTACACAAAATGTTTATAGTACATAAATAAATAGCTAGAAATTGGGAACATAGTCCAGCACGTCTAGCCTTGCTGAACTTGTGTGTTCTGGTTAAATGTATGCCACCAGAAATTAGTCAAATTAAAGCTCACGTAAAAGTGTGAGTACTTTAAAACACTTTGAACGCATGGGTTAAGCATTGTAGTTGTGAGAAAGGTTTAAGCATGTGATTAAGTCTGGTACTGAACCCACTGGGCCTTTGGGTTGCGCGCAGACCTACCTTCTGCATGCTTCTGTTCTACACAGGCACAGCCGTGTGAGAAGAGAACTCTAATGATCTTTCCATGGTATGAGTTTGGAAAAGTTTTTAGGTTTGCATGTGACTGTAGGCATTTCAAAATACTAAACACTCTGCCCAGTGAATATATTAGAAGCATTGCTTTCTGTATTCCAGTAATGAAAAAACTGTGTTTCAGTATGCCTCTGAACATTACTTGTTCAGGAAATCACTGGGGAAAGAAAGGAACATTCTGAAGCTCACTCATAAGGTCATGAGAGTTCTCCATCTCAGTCCTTGGAAAATGGCCTGAGAACTGGAATAACTGGAAATTAGCTGAAAAGAAGCCGATAAGAAACCAGCCTATCTGAAAAACATTTAATACCTTTCCTCTTGAAATCTTGGACTGCACTTCTCTTTTCCTTATCTTATGGGTGGCTCCATCTTTAACAGGGAGGTGTAATTAACCCAGGTTTGTTGCAGCCCTTCCTTCCTTTTTCACACAACTTGTGGTTGGAAAATGTCAGGCAGAGGAGGCAAGACAGATAAGTGGCACAGCAGAAAGGAAAGTTCAAATGTGAATATGTAGGATCAGGAAGGAAATTAACCAAGGAGATTCTTTCAAGTTGTACTTAGTCTCCCTATGTGTGGCAGTTGAGCAAATGTTTGTTTATTCTTCTAGCATGCATATATGGGCAAACAAGATCAAACATTTTGCATAAATGGACAGAAAAAAAAGAACTCTAAATGTAAAATGTTTTTTCCTTTCTGTAATAACAAGAGGGGAAACATTTTTATATAGTACTTAATACTGCAAAATGCAAAGTTTCTGGTTTTTTTAAGTTATTCTATCTTTTCCAGGCAGTTCTAGCTGGTGATTTCATTCTTTCTGCAGCATCTCTAATTTTAGCACGTATTGGAAACGCAACTATTATTTCTGTAATAACGCAGGTGATTGAGGATCTGGTGCGTGGTAAGGCTATTTAACAACTTTTCTAAGAGGTAACTGGCACACCTTGTTTAGGCAACTTCAGAAACATTAATGATCATTCCATCTTTTATAGGTGAATTTCTTCAGCTAGGTTCCAAAGAAAATGAAAATGAGAGATTTGCTCATTACCTCGAGAAAACCTTTAAGAAGACTGCAAGTCTTATAGCACACAGCTGTAAAGCAGTATGTACGTTCCATCTTTCCTGTTGTTAATATACCGTGGTGCGGGAATCAGAAAACTTGGGATTTGGGGGTTCTACCCTTTTCTTCACTAGCATATATACTAACATAGTTTGGTTCTTCCCATCTCTCCAGATTTGACATCAGAAATTGCATGCCCCTTCAATGTGTGTTACATTCAAACGAGATGACACTGTCAGTAATTGTGCTTATCCAGGTGTCACACATTGTTAGGAGAGGCTGAGGAATCCAAAAAGCAAAGTCTTGAAGACTTTGTGCAATTGGTAAACACTAAGATACTTGCCAAAAAGGGAAAATGTTGGCTGCTGTAGGTTAGCCCTTCTTTCCAGAATATGTGGTTGAAAGCTACTGCTTGTCTATTTTGAAAGAATTAATGTATGGCTAGAATTCTAGTGGGTATACAGCTAATAGTGGTAATTCTGGTTTGCCTTTCCCTTGATGAACTATTGGTTTCTGCATTAACTTGTAGATACTGTATGTGATGGATGAAATCAGTCAGCATTCACCATAGATACTTAGGCTGGAATGCATACTTATTATCACTATTAATAAAACTGTAGGTTTGTGTAAGTTTGCACATTGTGACAAAAATTCCTGACTTTACAAGTGCACTGACAGGGTCTGAATTGGGACGTGGTCAACCATGAAAGAGATTTAAGGTGGCCTGTGAAACATTACAGGCACTTCGAAAAAAAGCAAATTCTATGCTAGGAATTTTAAAGAAAGAGATTGGAAAATAACACTGCCAATATGGAAATGCCCTCATACAGCTCGACACTCTGGCTATATTTGGAAGGCTGTGTGTTGCTTTAGTCACTGTCTCTAAAGGATAACTTGGAGTTGGAAAAAGGGAATTAAAATGATTGGGTGGGGGGTTAAAACACTTGGCCCATTATTTTTTTTATTGTGGTATTCAAATAAAAATCAACCCCCACCCATAAAATAAAGTTGTAGTTTTCTTAAATGAGATCTGTTACAACGAATGCATATATATTATATATCTTAATATGGTAAGATACGCTGTGATTGTATATAGTAATGCACAGACTTCAGTAAAGGCTGCCCAAATAGCCATATATTTGTCCATTAGTAAAATACACCTAAAAACTACACATTCAGAAATCAACACTCTTTACCCATAAGGCAAGATTAACTTCTCCAGCCTGGTACCTTCAAAAAGTATTGGAGAATACCTTCCATCATTCCCATGTCACACTTGCTATTGAAAATGTTGGCTGGGGATGATGGGATTTCCAGCCCAACACATCCGGAGAACACCAGGTTGGAGAAGGCCAGATTAAAGTGCTTGAACCTTCTTCCTTGACAAGAGACAGGCAGGCAGGGCAGTTTCTGAAGAGGCTTGCCACTGAGTACAGTGGCACTCAAGAAGGCTATTTCCTGTAGGCTTCCTTGGCTGCCACATGCTGCTGGATTCAGTGGCTCTCTGGTCTGATCCAGAAGGTCCTTACAATGTTGCAGGCTGAGTGAAGGATGCCTATCATGTTTCTCCACACAACCCGTTTAGTAGAGACAAAGAGGCATGCGGTTCGTTTGAATACTATACAAAGTTCTTGGTGGACTTTAGCTGCTTCCCTTAAAATTCATCTGGCATTGATGCTCTGTCCTGTGTAGGTTCCCTTTAAGGGCTAACTTGATACAAAATTGTTTCTCCTCGACAAGAGGATTTAATGGTTTACAAGACTTTTAAATTGTACCCGTGCAAATTTACTTGCTGCATCGTGGGGTGTTAGGAGATTTTTAAGAGTCTCCCAAAATGTGGCAAAATCTGACCACAAGACCAGGTTCCTACATGCAAAATACTGAGGAGATAGTTCCAACTTCAGTATGGAAAATGACGTGTGTTCATATGAAGCCATTGCCAATTTAATCACTGTCTCCATGGTTCACATTGTTTGGTAAAAGCTGCTGACCTGTTTAGTGAATAAATTTCACTGGTTTTTAGGGGAAAAATTACTCTGAAACATGGTGCTTTAATTGTGGTGCCCAGAGTTATAATTTTTATAACTACATGCAAGTAGGTACTCATGTCTATAAAGGGCACCATCCTTTCTTTCCTGTGTACCCTAGCTTTCCAACCTGGTGCCCTCCAGATGCTTAGGAGTAAAATGCTGAAGCAATGGGAGTTAAAGGCCAAGCACCAGCAAGGCACCAGGTTGGGAAACACTGGTATACACCATGATCAGATTGGATTGCCTACCGACTAAATAACTGGCAGCCAGTTTGCTTCCGTCATTCCACATGTCCTTGTTCACATTCCCTGTCTCTAATGAGATGTGTGGCCATAATAAATATTTAATATAACCTGTCTATATTTAATGCTGCAGTTCTGTTGGGCTTTATGTTCTTTTAATAAGTCTAGTTTTGTATGTGCCTGGATGTATAAACAGGAACTGGGGGTGGTTGGGAATGCAGCTTAATGAGACCTCTGTCTCTCATTTCAGCTGTTTACCATATTTGTGATGCATATACACACAGAGGATGCTAATGAGGAATTCGTTTTGTGTTTCTTTTTCCAGGTTTCCATTCTGAGCTGTCCTGATCCAAATGTTCATGAGATTGCATACCAATATGGAAAGAACATTGGGATAGCGTTTCAGGTATTGCCTGTGGGTACTCAGTAAGGAAGGATCCTAAAAGGCCTACATTACTGATGAACTGGAAACTAGATACATAGTTTTGAAATATTATGATCATGTCTAGATATTTGACATTGCTTTCCATTGTTGCTGTATTAAAGATATTTTTTTTGTTTTTTAACACAGTTGATAGATGATGTGCTGGATTTTACATCATGTTCTGAGAAGCTAGGGAAACCAACCTTAGCGGACCTCAAACTTGGAATAGCTACTGGTCCTGTCTTATTTGCTTGTCAGCAGGTAGGATGAAGCAAGATACTGTGCTGCTGAGATAGTTATGCTGAAATACAAAGATTTCCTTCAAAATAAAATCAGGAATGTCAAGATATTTTGTTCCCTTGACCCAGATAGAAGCAAGTCATTTTAGAAAAAAATGGTTAAAAGAGAGGCATTCTCTTCTGATTATAATCAATGGTTACTAAAGCAAAAATATAGAACACCTTTCCTGTTAACAGTCTACTCCTGCTTCCTTATTGCCTTTCATCTCCAGCAGAAGACAGGATGCAAATTAGTCTTGACTTGGTTGTTAATTGTGGAAGTTATTAATGAGTAGGCAGAGCCTCTGTTGCTAGTGGGTGCTTCCAAATAACAGCTTGTGTATTCCAAAGTCCCAGGAAGCATGTCTGATTTATCCCAATTGCCCCACTAGACTATGCAGTAATCTATCTGATCCAGAATTCCATTGCCAGCTGCTCACAAATGGCTCACAACCAAGTCAGGATATGTTGGTGGTTTCCTTTCATTGTGCCCAGTATCTGGCGAATTATTCCAGCCATAGAGGGTCAATTTCCTTTGAGCTCAGCAGCCAGCGTCTAACATCACAGGGGTCCTGTTCTCTATGTGGGGGACAGAGCAGTTGCTCTTACCTCTTTCTGTGTGAAAGGACAGTCTCTTGCACTGGGAGAGAGACTGCGGAGACAGGAGGTCCCCTGTCATTGTGACAGAGTTCCGAGCAGTTGCAAAGACTTGAATGGCTTGTATAAAAAGTTCTTCCCCCAACAATCGAAGCAGTGATACTGTATTTAATACTCTTGGTGACCACCTCCTGACTACCAAGTGTGACCCCCCCAAGAACACTCAGGATGGATAAAGTAAAATGTAACGCTTATTAAGATACATGGTACTTACATGGCTCATTTTGGGTGGGTTTTCACAAGGCATAGATTTTTGCCTTGGTCTGCCAGTCAGACATTGGCATGATTCCCACAGCAACAGAGTTTCCATGTTCCCTGCTCTGTCCTTCCATTCTTGCCATGCATCCCAGCAGTCCCTGCAAGCAGAGTCCCTCACTGCATTGCACTTGCTCCTCAGGGACCTCAGCTGCCTCTTGCTGATTCATCTGCTGAGGCTTGGAGCAGGGCTCTCCCTCTTCCCCCTCCAGAGTATACCTGCATCTTTGATTGTTGATTCTCTCTGTCATTTTGGGAAACCAAACATGCTGTGCTGAAGTGCTGTGACTGGCTTCCAACAACACAACAGGGCAAAAACAGTAAAATTCACCACTGTAACATGTGAACCTGATCTTAAGGTAATTTGCATATACATTAACAGTTTATCAACCACCTTTTACAGTAATTGGAGCTACCTTTTTTGAGACACTATTGGCTTCCTGAGAGCCCTTGCTCAAATGCTTTTGGGAAAACAGCATACTCTGTTTCAGGAGAAACAGTATAGAAGCACAGAAACAAAGTGAATCAGAAGGGGCCTCCCAGGCCGTCTAGTTTTCCTTGAAAACCCTCACTGATGGTGCCTCAACCACCTCCCTTGGTAGCCCATTCCATATCCTAGGGGTCCTAACTGAAGCCCGGTTCCTTAAGCGTTGCCTCATTGGAACACATCTTGCCCTCCACTGAAAGGAAGAACAGGTCATGGCTCTTCTTCACATCATATCCCCTCACATGTCTATAAGGCGCTAAAAGATCCCCTTGGGAGTCTCCTTTTCTCCAGGTATACTTCATACCAGAGCCCATGAGAATGTTTTTGGGAAATAGTTAATGTTTTTCTCCATCTCACTCAGTTTCCAGAAATTAATGCCATGATAATGAGGCGATTCAGTTTGCCAGGAGATGTACAACGTACCCAGGAGTATGTACTAAAGGTAAGGCAAGACTAGCATTAAAACAAGTGTGAGCTCCTGTGTGTGCCTGGCACTATTTAAACAATGGCTGGCACCTGACTGCATAGTTGAGGGGTGTTCTCATACTTCTGAAATCCTGATCAAGGAGAGGAGCCTTCGCTCTTAACACCAAATGAAAGAGCAAACATACCAAGGTATCAGTACTAGTAACCTGTAGGTATGCCATGCAGTGCATGATATGTTTCCTAATGACCTAAAAGAAATTGCAAATCACATCCTAATATTTTAATAGGATGGCTGTTTGCCAGAACCGAGTATATTAGTGCAGGATTCTGAATGCTGATACAGAAAGTGCAGATAATACTGTCTAGTGTTCAGACAAGGCAGTTTTGGCCCTCTGTTGGTTCTGATGTTCACAGGTAGCTGTGTTACTTGATTAGTTAACTCTTACAGCAATCAAATCATGAAGGAGCATAATGGTAAATTAGAGACATTCATGTAAATTACTGTCTGTCTTTACTTAAAACTGTTCTTTCAGGTCTTTCTACTTAAAACTGTTAGATTCTCACTATGTAGAAGACAGTTCTAAAAAGGACAAACCCCTTGGATTCATGTTCTAGAACCCATTTCAAATGTAGATCTAGAAAGGTCTGAGCAGGAAGTCTTACATACTCTACAATATATCTATTTCACAGCTTCTCTCTCATCTTTTTTTTTAAAGAGTGGTGGTATACAGCAGACAATCTACCTCGCTCAGCGCTACTGCCATGAAGCAACGCGAGAGATCAGCAAGCTCAGACCATCTCCTGAACGAGATGCCCTGGTTCAGCTGGCAGAAGCTGTACTTTTGCGAGACAAGTGATATACATCCTTCCACTCATTCAGGCAGCTAATTTACCAGACGGTGCCTAGAACTGTGTTTCAGAACATCCTGGCTTGCTTCCCATGCAGTTACCTTTTTTAAAAAAAGTTATCCTCACTGAAATAAATATAACTAGATTTATGAAGTAAAAATGTTTTATTTTCAGAAGCCATACAAAAATGCTGAAACAAAAATGCTGGCAGCAATCACTTATGCCTGTGATTTTAATGAAGAGGGTTCCTTTTTCGTGTGGGCACTGTTTACATTGTTCATTATTGACACCGAAGGCCACAAAGAATAAATACAATCAATGTGTTGAAAAATCACTTCCGCGATCCCTGGTGTGTGTTGGGACGATGACCAATACCTTGAACGATCTAATTGCCTGTTAGAATTTCAGAGTACCCAGAAAATTAAAGGAGAATGGTTTATTATAAAAGACTGTACATACGTTTTGTAATTAAACAGATTATATACAAATTAAGAGATGTTCCAATTTATAAAGGGAATACAGAGAGGTTTTATGGGTTACTAATTGATCTCAGGAAAAAAACATGTTAACAAGTAGGAAAGATTTAAAAAAGCATTTAGTATAATTAGGTTCATGTAAGGTAAGAAGGCAAGGGATCCTTCAATATTTTATGTCACCCTAGAAAATAACTAACTGCTTACTCTCACACAGCCAGTACACCTGTTTTTTCATCATTTATTTTTTTTATACCCATTAGGACAGCACTTATGCCCAAAATACATTTTTGCTACCTATAGTAATAAATTCCTTACTAAATCATAGCCTCCCTTAGATTATCTAAGTAATACAAGTTTTGTACAAACTGGAGTCAGAAACTTCACCTGACCTTGTGCTCAAAGTGGAGGCGCCAAAGTGCATGCATTCTGCCAAGAGCAAAATGGGCTCTAGTAGCCCAAGTCCTTCCCATTGTGAATGGATGGTATTTGCTCCTTTCAGTAAGATGCATGGACCATCATGATCTCCTCTCTGATGTTAAGTGCCTCCATCTGGGCCCACACACATTGTATTCTTGGGTGTCTTGAAACAACCTTCTTAAATACAGTGATGTGGACAAATCAGTAGCAAACCCCTTCAAAAATGGAATTTCACTTTCAGCAGGACATAAGACCTTCATAGTACTAAGTGGACATGGGTAAAGTGAGATGGTAAAGAGAACAGTGACTTGTGATTGATTGTTCACCCATGCTCTGCATGTTATGGAATGTTAAATGGGTATTCCCCTTGCAGCCAGATTACATTGCCTCATAAGCAGGGTCTTGGGGTGGGGATGTGCAGAGCCGTCCAGGGACGCACAGTGATCGGATGGGCTAGAAATATCCCAAATAAATAATGTGGGGAGGAATCCGATCATGGGAATGAAAAGCCAAGCGATTTACATGATTCCATCCCACTGCCCCTGGATTCTAGTTCACCAGCCCTGTATGAGCACCAACTCAGTACAGAGCAAGTTCAACCAGCTCATGGACTACCTTCTCAATGACAGGTGTTTTACATAATTTAAGCATTTTTTAAAAAGAGACTGAAGGAAATTTGTGCATACTGGCACTGGAAAAGCATGTGGTCCTCATGTGGTTTCCTTTAGTTTTCTTAGCATTTTTAAAAATGCACAAATCACAGCTCACTTTAGAAGTTCTGTGGAAACTCACCTCAGTAACCCTATTCCCAATCATTGGATCAGAAGTTGGCAGGAAGTCTGCTGTGTTCCAACAAGGCAGACTTCTCAGCGTTGGTACAGCCATATCCCAGGTGTCATTTAACCAGTCACTAAGGCTAACAAAGGCAATGACCCTGAGACAGCTCTGCTACTAAAGTGAAACACTGTTATGGGGCATGAGTCATAAATGACCCTTGACATTGCAGCTGTGGTACAGAAGACATCATTACCCATCTTCATGTTAGATCAGCACTATCAGTTTGGACAGTTCTGATCACCTGTGCAGGGGTAAGAACAGGCACAAATTTCAGTTGCCCATGTTCCCAGATCAAACCAGCCGCGGATAAAAGACTGAATGAGATAGCAGTGCAGCTGTTTACAACCAGGACTCCTTTATGTTATAAACCTCACATGAGCCTTTTACCACTTTATGATAATAATTATCCAAAGAGTGACAGCTAATAGTCTCTAGCAATAACCTCTTCCTGCTACAGTGAATTAAGCCAAACAGTAGTGTAATTTTACACATGGTAAGCTTGCAGAGATGTGATTTTCACTTGATGGAGAGTTTGAACTTGCAATTTAAAAAATGTATCCCTGCTGATAAGGGGGAAATTTTGCTAAGTCAATGCTTTAGTATTGCTTTGCAAGGCAAGCCAACAAAAGTAATGGACAAGACCTTTGGTTCACTTATGTATTTATGAATGGAAAAGTCAATGCAAATTTACTCATAAAAAACTCAGGTACAAATTACATACACATCATAAGACCACCCATCTTTGATTCACATGGACACCTCAGAGACTCAAATGACTCATTGGAATAGACTTTTAGTGAAAGAGTACTCCAAGTAAAAGATTACAACAAATTGGAAGCATCTTGGATTTTTTGGAAAAAAGTATAATTCAATACATAAGTTTGTATGCATGCTTTTAAACAAATACTATATTTTGAGGATGAGCAAGAGTCTAAACAAAGATAAATGACCAGCACTATTGAAATTTTCAACCAGATTTAATGTTAGTCTAACAGTTGTTAGTTTACCATGCTGCACTGAAAAAAGTAATGGCACAATTTGAATCATGAGTCATTAAATATTATATACCCTACTTCCCAGAATATTTAGGCTGGTCATAAAAAAATCAACAATGCATAAGTAAATAAGCATAATCAGTAATAAACAGTTGCTCATTTTACAAACTCTGCAGAGACAAATGCATACAGATGAACATTCAATCATACCATTTAAACAGTATGCTCTGAAAAGATGGGCACATTTGTAAAGAGTATTAAGACAAGTGTTAAACTTTTGTTACCCTTTGTAAATAATTATGGCATGATTGAATACAAGACCTGACCTGAAGAAAGGACTTAATCCGCATAGTGCATGATTGATTCAACATAGTTTCCGGGAAACAGGCCAGTCACTCGGTTGCAAACACCTTCATACCAGCCGTCGTCGTTCTTCTTTATAACATAAATGATTGCACCCTCCATGAACGACAGCTCATCATCCTTGTCCTTCGTGTAATCATATATGGCAACAACTGGGGATCAAAGAGAGAGTCAAATGATTTCCCCTCAAATCAACTTTGGGGGCAACATTGCCAATGCAATGATTTCAGAATTTACAACTAATTGCAGTGTGGACAAGCTAATGGCAGCCAGAACCAAGCTAATCTGATGACATTTAATTAAAGATTCTGCATTCTAATTGTAAAGGAGGCACTTAGTAGTACAGTACATGCTTTGCCCAAACAGTGTCCCAGATTCAGTCCCTGGCAACTTAAGCTAAAAGCATCTATGTTAGCAGACTCATGAAAAGCCTCTCCTGCTAGGCTTCAAGAGCAGCTGTCATCAGAATTGGCAGTGCTGGACTAGATGACAAACCTGATGTTATCAAGATGTTACTATGCAATTAAACAGTGGTCCTTACTTGGGAAACATGCTAGTTAGATTACTGTAATCCTAAAACACAGGGATGCCATTTCGATGAATGAAAATTCTGGGCCAAGATCTCTTCTTGGTCATCCCAGAATGCAGGACATGGAATAACAGCCCCAAGTTGCAGGAAGCCAGATCCAGGCTGAACATCAGGAAGAAGTTCCTGAGTGTTAGAGCAATATGACAATGGAACCAATTACCTGGGCAATTGACTGGCTGTCCCACACTATAGGCATTCAAAATGCAGCTGGACAGCCATCTGGTTAACTGGAGTCCTGCACAGAGCAGGGGCCTGGACCAACAGCCCTCCTGGCCTCTTCCAACTTTTCCATGATTCTAACTGTGTAAGGACATAGAGGCCATTTTGTTTTGTTTTAGCACAGAAGTGCTTACCTTTCTCAATACAGTTTTTCGGTGCCCAGTCTGGGTCACCGTCTGCATACGGGTCATTGTACTGCACTACCGCAGCCTCCTCATCTTCATAATCCACTGGTGGTGGAGGTGGTGGTGGTGGAGAGTCGTCAAACATTGGCATCTCATCAGGAGGAGGTGGCGGTGGCGGAGTTGGACTGTCGGCAACTATAAAATCAGCAAAAGGAAGATCTCTGTCATGTTCCATGCAAATGTAAACAAATGCATGATCAGGGCTCCATATCTTCTACAGAAGCTAACAGCATGCACTACGATCCCATGCACAGATTAGAAGTGTTTTGCATGTTAAGATGCTATGATAGACGGCTTTGCAGGTTATTAGCAGCCAGGTAATTCTATTTTCAAAGCAGACACTTCAAAAGCTTAAGCTGATCACTAAGTGGAAGTCAGAAGGGATATTTGCCTCATCGCTTTTATGATACCAAAGGTAACATCACAAATATAGTCAAAAGGCTGAGGGCAGCAGTAGCTGAATATTGCAGGCACAACAGCAAATGAGTTGTTCTCATGTTTCAAGCCCACTATTTATTTTTGCTTTTTGAATCCACAAAGACAGCTGCTAGTAAGAATGGAAATTTTGGTTCTGTCTCTCCAACATCTAAACTCAAGTCATTAGGCCTTTCAAGGCCCTCTCTGGCAACTGCTAATTTCCCTAAACCTTTACTTTTGCCTTCTTAGTAGGACCTATTATAATGAGTATTGGTTGTTGTTACAAGCCACCCAGTTGCTTCCAAATGAATGCATGTCCTTCAAAATGCCTTATCCTTGGCAACCCTGCTCAGCCCTTGTAAAATCATAACTAGTATACCGGCCCATAAACTAAGGCAGAGGTTAAAAACCAGGTGCCCTGCAGATGGACTACAAATCCAACAACCCTTGATGCTTGGTTGAGGGTTTGATTCCAGATTTATCTTCTCTAACATGCACACACAGAGAAGAAATGACTTGAGGAGCACATTTGGTCATTCATCTATAGCACAGGGGTAGTGACTTGGTGCCCTTCAGGTGATTTGGATTGCAACTTCCATAATCCCCACCATGCACAGTCAATGGTCAGGGATCATAGAACTTGTACTCCAAAGGGTTTCTCACTTCTGAGTTAAGGGTTCATTTTAAAAAATCGACAGACATCACCTCATAGATTTTTTAGAAATGCAAGCAGTGGTCCAATGGGAACCTCCACTTTCAGAAGCAACATACTTCTGAATATCAGTTGCTGGAAGGTCACTGCCTTCACACTCTTCTTCTGGGCATCCTGGATCATCTGGCTGACCAGCAGATGCTGAAATAAATGAAGTCTTGGTCTGATTCAACAGGGCTGATATGTTCTTGGTCTCACTTTTCTCAGCTTTTGCAGTCCACTAACAACTGCATCTGTATTATCATTTCCTTACTACTCCAAAACAGTGCCATCTTTTTAGAAATAGTATTCCAGGCCTTGATTCATTCCAGAAACCAAATCCAGCTCAAAATTTGAGTTCAGAAAGCAGACAGCATCATAAGTTGCTGCTTTCAATCTCAATTTGCTTCTTTATACTCAAGTCATGACAACTGGCTGAGTCCTCTGGGAACTTGCCATGCTAAAGCCCTATTGAAATGGACAGGTTTGCTATAATGGTACAGCTTTTCCAGTATGATATACTGAGATATTCCTGGCAGACAGAATGTGCTGGCCTAATCCATTTAACATAAGAGACAGACAAACACAGAGAAACGGAACAGTTGATGGACTGGATCCATTTCACATGGAACTGGCACAGAGACTAGGGGCGAAACTATGTTCATCCTAAAATGTTATTCGGCGTAAGAACCAAATATAATGCAATGAAGACTCAAGCATTCCTATATTATTTTAGCTGGTGATATTTCTTCCATGCACAAAGGAGCATGCCACTCCCAAATGCTTTTCAACAGATACAGCCCTTTAGCCAGAGCATGCTGCTTTGGTGTTTTACAAGATCCCCAAGCTCATGTTAAGCTAATGGAGGGGAGAAGAATAAAATATACAGCAAATTGGAGTCATAATGCTCCTACATTAATTACTGAGATTTTTAAATAGTCAATTTAAAAAACCAAGAAGACCAGTGCCACTTTTTTAATGCATTCTATACTTCAAGTAGCTAAAATTATCTGTGGCTAGCGGGTTTTGCTAAACGACTTTCTAGAGATATTGCCTATCAGGGTGTGCACATCATATGTCAAAGAAATTCAAACATTTCTCCAGACATTTCAAAACAACAGTAAGGAGCAATAAAGGAAATCTACAGACTCCTGAGTCTTGCACCTGAGTTTAACATAAGCCCAAGCATACTGGCTGCAGAGCTAGAATGCTCAAGTTTAACCCCTCCAACTCTGCAGCTGCATTACCGGCAAAACTAAGGCAGGGACCTCCCTGCATTAAGCATTTTACTGTCACATCAAAAATCCCACAAGTACAACCAACCCCCAAGCACCAATGAATTCTCAGCACATCTTTCCACCAGGTCTTTCATTTTATCCTGTTCCAAGAAGTATTTGACTGAAGTAAAGTATCTTCAAGATATCACAAAAACAGGATAATGCTGAAGAGGACAACCACTTGTCTTCTGGCCATCCTGGAGCTAAACGGTGTGTGCACTGGAGAGAACACTCAACCCACAACAGAAGGCTTCCTATTCAGATCCGTAAGGTAGTGCAGCCTGGCTCTTCAGCTGCCCTCCTAAAACCGGAGAAGTTTACAGACGCAGTGTAGCATTTCTGCCGGGCCACTTCATGGCAGAGGTGAAAGGTGGACCTATCTCAAAACGCTCCAGGAAAACTAAATGATGGCCAGGCCTGTGTTTTAGAACTTCCTATATCTAAGTTAATAACAGGCACATATTTTGATGTGCTATTTATATTTATTTGTGTCCTGCACTGTACTGCCAGAGCTATCACTCTGCTGGGCTTAGTTTGACCTTTGCCTTGAACTTCAAATAAAATTCATGTATTTGAAATACTTGTAGAATGCATTCATTCTACTAGATTTCAGGGCTATTGAAATTAGAAATTAAAATAGAGTATAGCATATTTATTCAGTTATTTAAATCTTTCCATTCAGACCCATATGAAAAGATCTTAAGATACAATGTGATCATACAAAAAAGACAACAAACCAATGATGTACAATCCAATAAATAAAATCAGGCATGGTAAAAATCAGAAGTGACTGATGTGACCGAAGGACACACATAATCTTGGGTAAAGAGCCAGGCCTTCTCCAGAACAAATATTGCTTCAAACAGAACAAACAGGGATGAGAATGTTGCATAACTGGGGTGCCACGGCTGTGAAGGTGCTCTTTGGAATCTCCACCTGATGCACAGCTCCCAACAGTGAGGCAGAGAGGAGAGCCCATTTAGCTGATTGTGATAATCGGACAGGTGTGTGGAGGAGGCTGTTCTTCCTGCTTCTCTGTATACAGTGTGCACGGGAGTTTGCACACACCCAAATGCCCATAAGTACCACTATGGAGGCCATGCATTGGACAAAATGGGTCCTGTTCTACGGACATCAAATGACACAAATATTCTTCACAATCTGCCCTAAATTTGGTTGTACTTCCTAGTTATTCCTAAGCAAGTAGAGTGACAGGTCAGATCATGCCATCTGCAATCACAGAAACCAATTTGCAAATACATACACGGCTTTCACACAAGAAGCTGAGGCCTAATTTAAACGTCATGCAGGATATGGAGGGAGAAAGCAACTTCTGCCTGCAGCTTCCAGGTGGGACGCAACTACATGATGTCAGCCTCTTAGCCATTGCACATGGGTTGGGGTTTGTTTGGGTTTTTTGGTTAATGTTCTTATTGTGTGCCCCCTTGAGTGCATTTTGATATAGCAAAGTTGGATAATTTTTTTAAAAAGTGAAATAAATAATGCTACCATGGGGCTTCTCTTGGCCACCGATTCCAGGTAAGCCAATGCTACAGGTAAAGTGTCTACATTTTGAAGAGTTGCCAGCCAGGTGTCATTCTACAAGAATGCATTTGCTTTACCTGCTGGTTTCCTATGTAAATAGCCTGTCAGGGAGGGGGTTCTGAAATGAGCAGAGCCACATCTGTGACATTTTGCATCCATACCACATAGGGTTGCAGGTGCCCTGTGTAGGTCAGGAACCAAAGGGAAGCATACCCTTCCCATTACTCTTTGGATTACCCAGGTCAAAGTAGCAGTCTGGCATTTGGCACAATGACCATTTAAAGGGGAACTACAGTCCATGAGTTGGCAGTCTTTTGTGGAATGCCCATTTCCACTAATCTCCCATTAAATCTCTTTCTTGTCTTCTTAATTCACTTTTTTTAGAGAAAGAAAACAAATCAGCCTCTGGGAACTTCACACACACACACACACACACCTGTATGCAACACACACACTCCAAGTATGAGCACAGTGATCATTCCAAAATTTTCAAGTAGTGCTCATGCCCAAATGGTAATCCTTAGAAGCTCTGAGCATAAGGGAAGGTACCCTGCAGCTCCACAGTGGCACTGGAATACAAGATGTAATTAGCATCTCAAGTAGGGGGAAAAATGAACCAAACGCCTCAAACAATAAAATGGAGAGAAGTCTAACTGGCCAGCCATGCATGCTCCGAGAGAGAGAATGGGAAAAGAGAGAGAGGAGATAGAGAGAGAGCTGGCTCTACTCTGGAGAAGCTGAGCTGCCAGACTTACTGTTTTCCTGCACCCTGGCCACGAAGCCTGTGAGAGGTATCTGTGGAGTCAACTGAGGCATAGGGGGAGGCGGGGGAGCAATT